CAGGTACGCAAGTAGCTTTTGAAAAAGAAAACCATTGGCGTTGATTTCAGAAATCAATTATAATCTTATTTTATGTATGAGACTTAAATTTTCATTAACTATTCCTATCATTTACTTACACTTTCCAAACATGAAATTCGGTATCTTGTTTCCCATGGTAATATGGGTAAAAGTGTTTTTCTGCATTAAAAAAGTATTTTTGAAAGCTAGGAATAAGTCAGCCAATTAAATTTTTTTCTACTACATTAGTTTAGTGGCGCTTTGTATGTGTGCTGTTTTGCTTTAAAGAAAATAACGTCTTCATTATTTTCCTCATTGATGTCTTTTGCTGGAAAAGACCAAGAAAGAGCCATCAGACCAGGTATCCAAATCAAAGGCTTTACATTATAGTGGTGGTTCTCTTTAATTGCTTATATATGACTTCATGGCCCTAGTTAGGGTGACTTCTGGGCAAACATTTGAGTATGCTTGGTCTTCCATTTTAAAGACAGGCCAAGATCAAAGTTGATGTTTTGTAAAATTGGTGAAATCTTAACTTGAACTAACTCTGGGTTCAGTTTCACGTAAGGCACGTCGGACCTGATGTTAGCTGTGATCAGTTTTGAGCTTTAAGAATAGTTGCTGTTGCTTGGGTTCTGAATGTATGAGAAAACTCTGTTTATATGTAATTCTAATTTAGGTTATTTTAAATCCATGATTAACTTACATTCCCTTTTAAAATTATGGTTTAATTACTGCGAGAGATTTATTTTTGTTATACTAAACTATGGAGAATTTTTTCATAGCAGTTTTTTCAAGTTTATTTTGTGTGTGCTTCATTGGGAATTATTTTTGTTTATATGCATTGTATATGCTCAAAAAAGTTTTTAAAAAATCAGAGATTTGAATATATACAGTGTAACTGTTATGACCTTTATGCGTGTTATTTTCACTTTACATTTTAAATGCCAGAGTTCACAAAAATAGCTGATCTTCGTTAATTGCATCTTAATTAGAACCATTTGTTCTCTTCCATGTCTTTGGCCTTCTAAGTTTTGATTTTAAAGAAATTCCTTGCACTAAAACCTTTTCACAAAATGCAAGTTTTTCACATTGAAGGTTTTGTGTTGGAAGAAATGCTACTGGTTTTTAAAAAGCAAAGCGTAACTAATAGAATTGTTAGCTTTTTTGGAGACAGCTTTCTGTGTTCTCATTACTCTGCTCTGTGTGAGTGTTAATAGAATTTGTGAAATACTGACTGAGCCCTTCACTTATCTTTTCTAAAGCAGCACCTTTGGACACCTCATTCTGGGAAGCCTGTTCGAGTCATAGTAGAGGACACACGCTTTGTGTGGAGAGAAGTGGTAAAAATGGAGTTTTGTCTTAATTACATGAAACTAAGCTTTAAAATATTTTATAACAGATTATTTGAGCTGCGTAATCTAAACATGTCAGACGTTCAGTGGGACTATTTTTATATATGTATATGTGGGTGTAGGTCATAACATTTCAGTTTATAATATAAATTGTTTCAGTTGATAAGCTATCTCAGAGGAGACTAGCTCTTTTGAGAATTCATAATTTAAAGTTTTAGACTAAAGTAAAACACAACATAGATAATAGTGTAAATCAGATATAATTGAGGGCTGTATGGCAGTAAAACTGCTAGTGCCAGTTTTCTTGTTTGCCTGTTATACATTTTTGATTTTTGTTTCGTATTCTGAACGTTTTTGGAGATCATATGTTTGTTCAGTCACATTTAGAGTTGGTTTGGGAATAAATATCTTCTAAAAAGAGATTTATCTTAAAAATGGAAGTCCTAAAAATTAGTTTATCCAGAGTTTATAAAGTCAAATATTCACTAGGCATAGACTGGAATAGATAAATTCATGGAAAATCATATCCTTTCAGTACACTGCGTAACTTCAATATTATACAACTAACATTGAGGAGAATGCCATCAGCTTTCTTCTCCCTTAAATTCTTAGATTTTCTTTTTACATTTTGGGAACAACTGCATTTAAGATGTTATTAATCAGTATATAGTAAGGATTAGGTGTTTGCTTTTTGAAGGAATGTTCCAGTGAGGTGATTGGGAGAGGTTATTTTCTACCTAACTTGTATATGCCCTGTACCTCTTGGGCATACTTTGTCTATAGAAAAATATTTTGACCTTTAGGTACATTTTGGGCCAGTAGTCAAATAATCCTAGGGCCGATATAAAAATCTTAAGAATAATTTAAGGTTTGCCTTTTATACCTGTTTTGAAAGCCTTTACATTTTTGTCAGGTAATTTTTCCCAAGCCGTGGATATAATCTATTCAAACATGTTTATGCTATCCATTCTGTTTTTAAATTGAAAAAAAAATGTTAAAAGTGTTTATTAAGAAAAGTTTAAATAAAATATTTTTAATCTTTAAAATACACTTCTTTATCTCTGATTATTTGCTGGTTTTTATTTAATCCATCACTTTCAAAGTCACTAATGACTTGATTAGCAGAATACATTTTGTTTTCCTTCAACATGCCAAGGAAGTGCCATGAAAATGTGATTTCTGCCAATGCTTTCAGCCACAGATTCAAATGAGAGCATTAGAGTGAAATTATTTATACTCTTATATGCAATGGAAATTTTATAATGAAGCCAAGTAATTAAAGTTCTAACACAGAGTTTTGCAGTCTTGCAAAATGAAAATGTAGAACTGAGAAAAAGCATTTACAAGCCTCAAGCCTTAGTTTGATGATTTTTAGATTTCCTTTAGCATTTCTGATTCATTGGTCTTATAGGCATTTCTGAAATTCAGAACTGGGTGGAGGCTTTGGGTTATACATAGGCATGTGTGTGCCATCTTTCAAATGGACACCTAAGAAACATCAGCAGGATTCCCAAGCACCTAGATCCTGGCCTCAGGCAACCTTTCCAGCCTTTTTCTCCCCCACCACTTTACACTCCATTCTATTGTGATCTTTACATGTGTTCCTTTCCAGCCTAAAATTGCTTGCCTTTCTTTCCCCTGCCCTGCTTGTTAAAAATCCACTTATTTTGCAAAGTCCGACTCAAATATTTCCCTCCCCTCCTTAAAGCTATGTTAGCTCTTCCCTTGAATTAATTGCCTCTTCTACACTCAACACACTTAAACAGTTCTATTTAATTTCATTTTGCAGAACAGTTGGGCATGATTCTCCACAGCTAGTTCATAGTCTTCTTGGGTGAAAGGATCTTTCATTCTTCTTTGTGCCCTCATATCTAGCATGATGCTTTGTAAGTAGGCATGGAGCTAAATGTTTATTGCAGCATAATGACAAATTCCATATGTAATAGACAAATGCAATTCAGATGA